GGAATTTTTTCACTCATACAGAGATGTCACTTTATACCGGTGAAGGGCTTCAAAATGAGAGCTTTTCTCGGCACTCAGGACCATTCAGCAGTAAGGGGTCTTTATCGTGCCAACGCCTACCGTGACACGGGACCTCGATTTTTAAGGTCTCATCCGAAAGACCTGTAATTTTCATTATAAAGTACCGAGTACTTTACGAAGGAACAGTTCCCACGTATTTTTATCGACTTATGTAGTCGCGGCCGTGGTTTGAACCCACAACCTTCCGATCATGAATAAAAAACAAAGAAAGACATCATTATATTTATGTACGTGGCGAAAAAGTTAGGGATTATTGAAAAACGTATTTGTTATATGCACTCTTATAAAGGAGAAAGGTTATTATGAAGATTCGTCATTTTATTTATAGACTTAAAAATCAATTTTCAGCAAAAGGCATAGTGGTTAACAAATATCTCAACTCAATCTTTATATGCAAAGGAAAAAACAGATCATTTCTTGCATGTCTGGTAATATATAAAAAGAAAGATTAAACAGATCTTTATCTTTTTACAATGTTTGTCAGTATTTTGTATGACATCCCCGCGAAGAAAAAAAACTACTTCTAACGCCTTCCCATGAGCTGCCCAATAGCCTTGCAATACTCACCTGGAAAATCTAATGCTATTCCTCTTGCAGTGCAGTTTTAAGTTCTTGCAGATTCTGGGGAAGTATTGGAAGAGCTAAAAATGCGTTGCTGAAGAAAGTCCCAAGCATGCATGTTCAATTGGGTTGAGTTCATGCTCTGGGCCATAAAACTTAGATGATCTCATTTTTTATCTCAGAATTTTACTAAAGAAATGCACAAGGGAGAAGTGAGACGGCGATTAAAAGCTAGCTCATATAAGTTTTAGGGCCCTAGAGCCAGGAGAAAGACTAAGCCAATCTATACCCTGTATCATAAAATAATCAGAACTTTTGATGCTCTCTGATTAGACTCCCTTTCCTAAGGTGTACTTCCGAGTGAGTTCATCTCATATTGATATTTCAGAAGGTTTATTCGGGTTTTCCCTCTTAACCAAACATATATTTGCTTACTTTTTTCGACCAATCAAATTTCACGTTTAAAAGCATTTGTCATTGTGAAGGCTGACGCCAGTACCGGAGACTAAATTCCTTTATTATTATTAATTGGTTGAGTATTTATTGTTTTATATTATTGTATTCCACTTTTGAGCTTTTGTGATCACATTTTGTCCGTAGTCCGTCTGTCCGTCTGTCTAGCTGTCTCTCTGTCTGTCCGTCTGTAAAACTTTCACATTTTCGACTTCTTCTCCAGAACCACTGGGCCAATTTCAACCAAACTTACCACAATGTGTTCTTGGGTAAAGGGGTTTCAAGTTTGTTCAAATGAAGAACCACGCCTTCTTTCAAGGGGAGATAATTATGAATTCGTGAAAAAATTAATGGCATCATTAAAAGATTTTCTTCTCAAGAACCACTGTGCTTGAAAATATGAAACTTATGTGATAGCATCCTCAGGTAGTGTAGATTCAAGTTTATTCAAATCATGACCACCAGGGGTCGGGTGGGGCCACAATGGGCAATCAAAATTTTACATAGGAATATATAGTAAAAATCTTTAAAAATATTCTTCTCAAGAACAGCAAGGCCATGATTGGTCATATTTATATGGCAGCATCCTCAGGTAGTGTAAATTCAAATTTGTTAAAATCATGACCCCGGGGGTAGGGTGGGGCCACAATGGGCAATCAAAATTTTACATAGGAATATATAAGAAAAAACCTTCAAAAATCTTCTTCTCAAGAACAGCAAAGCCATCATTGGTCATATTTATATCGTAGCATCCTCAGGTAGTGTAGATTTAAATTTGTTCAAATCATGACCCCCGGGGGTAGGACAGGGCAGCAATAGGTAATCAAAGTTTTACATAGGAGTCATAGTAAAAATCTTTAAAAATCTATATCTCAAGAACAGCAAAGCCATCATTGGACATATTTATATAGAAGCATTTTTAGATAGTGTAGATTCAATTTTGTTCAAACCATGACCCTCGGGGGTAGGGTAGGGCCACAATGGACGATCAAAGTTTTACATAGGAATTCATAGTAAAAATCTTTAAAAATCTTCTCAAGAACAGCAAAGCCATGATTAGCCATATTTTAATGGAAGTATCTTCAGGTAATATAGATCCAAATTTGTTCAATTCATGACCCCCCCCCCTCCCCCAGGAGAATAAAGGGGCCATAACAGGGGATCATAATTATACAAAGGATATATTAATAAAATTTTCTTCTTAAGAGCAGCACAACCTTCCGATCCCTATGAAGTATATAGATTCAAGTTAGTTAAAATTAACCCCCTCCGAACCACTTTTATATTTAAACTTTTCAACCTTTCAAGACTGAACTGATTTCTGTGCTTTCCTAGCCATAGTGCTCAGGTGAGCGATGTGGCCTCTGGGCCTCTTGAAGTTGTTAAACTGTTGAAATATAATTATTATGTGTTGTTACGCTATATATTTTGTAAGGAGTGTTTATATTTGTTGGAAACAAGAACTCAAGGAGGTTGGATCCTGTTATCAAAAGTATTGAGAATTTTTTTTATTAAGTATATTTTTATAATCTATACACATATCTTTATTAAAAATCAAAACAAAAATGGGGTTTAATGCGCTTCTTTTGGCGCTACGGAGCATTTAATATAAATTTTTTTGCACTTTAATTACGTTGAGCACATAAATAAAGTTTTTCCTCTGATATTTTTTATCCAAATAAATTATGGCAACAAACACAGTCTTTTTTCATCTTAAATAGTCTCTTTAAAATTTGTGACAACACAAAAAAACTTTCAAATTATTTCGCATAGTCAATTATTTGACATTTTTGCACTCAAAAAATGTCATTTTTCTAGCATTTATAATTTATCAAGCAATAATATCATTTGAAAGAAATAACATTTTTCTGAATTTAAACAGAATGATTAAAATTATCTAATATATTCAGAACAGAGAATTAAAAGTGGGGGTCTATTATGTTAATTTTGAGATATTACTAAAATAGTGTTAATTTTAAGCTTTAATTGGGCTATTTTTTCCCCAGGACTTTCACAATATATTTGCTATATTTGTCAAATATGATGATAGGATACATGACAGTTTATTTAATATGTAATTTAGGACTAACATAAAATATTTCACTGTACAAAATAACTCTGTGTGCAGGCTGCATGTAAAATGGGAATCCAAACTTAACAATACTGTATACACTTCGAAAGAGAAAAATTGATAATTTTCTTCAAAAAAAACTTTCCGTCACAAAATATAGTTTCTCACTTAATGCTTTCGGTATGGAATTTAATTATGGTGTTTTAATTGAATATCGTTTAATTAGCATTGTAGAATCCAAATGCATTGTAAAACTAATACATTATGCAGATTATTTTTTAAAACAGAGGTCAAGAAAAAAAACCTACTCAAAAGCTCAGAAATGAACCTCTTTAAGTATCAAAAATGCTTAAAATTCCTGATTATTTAAAAACTGTTATTAACTTTTGAATTTGGTCTACTAGTGAATATATGGATCTGGTCATGGATTGGTTAACCATGGCCTTTGGCCTCGGTCAATACCTGACCCGATATTTTTACAATGTAGTCACGGATATACACTGGTCCCAGCTGACAAAGCTGGTAACAACATAGTCTTTGTTTGTAAGGCTCATTATTTGAATTGTATTTTAGAGGAACTAGGATTTAATTTTGCAGGTGGAAATCCAACTTACACCCATATCTCGCTTTCTAAGGAAGAAATTCTTCAAAATCAAATTTCTGTTTTAGATATTTTTAATGTTCCCAACAATTAAAATGAATTTGAATTACCAGATGTGGATACATGTACTTAAAAATTCAAGGAACTTTTAAAAAATTTGAAATCACAAAAGTTTACCAAAATCAATAACATCAAAACGTATACGAATTTCAACACTTTATACAACCATTCCCCACGACGAATTGAAGTCCAGGCTTTTTGACATCATAGACACCTGCTTTTTCAATAAAAATGGAATTCGTAAATTATCTAATCTTGTCATTGGTCATTTGCAAAAGTATTTTGTTAAAAAACATTCTACATACAAGTACTCTGAAGTTGATATTAAAAAGATGCTTGAGTTTCTGATTGACAATGTGTAGTTTTTGGAAGTCTTCCAATGATCTGTAGGAATACCTATGGGTACCAATTGTACCCCGTTATTAGCAGACCTATTTCTGTATTCATATGAAGCAGAATTTATTCATAAACTTCTACATGAGAAGAAGAAAACACTTGCTGTGGCCTTCAACTCGACATTTAGATATATTGACGACGTATTATCAATTAACAATAGTTACTTCCAATCCTGCTACTGAACCTTGCTTGTTCTTAATTAGAAAGATGGGTTTGCATTAACGGATGTTCAGACTGCTTGTCGTCGATGAAAACCCCAGGTGCGTCAGCGTCGTGCCTACCTAAGTGTTATGTAAACGTATTTTGAGCCTCCCTTCGCCAGATTTTATGTGATTTAAATTTTATTCTCATTTGAATCTACCTTTTGATAGTTCCGTCAAATCCTAATTAGGAAACACGAGAGGTGTTAAGCTGATTTGAATGACAAGTATTTTGCAGAGAAGAAGAACACATTAATCAAAGGTGTTCGCTCAAACGTATCGGCAAATACTTCTAAAAACGTACACTATATTTATATACGAGAAACTTTAATCAAAGAATAATGTACGCCCCTGTATTTTCTGTCTCGTCAAATATGTTATTTCTCACCCACCTACCTACTAAATTTAAATATACATTCCGACAAATGCCTTTTTAAACTTCTGCACTGCGTACGTAAGTATCTGTTCTTGAATATCTCCGTCAAGAAATGGTCGTTCGGTGGATAGTTAACATTTTACAATAGTGCCAACGATACAAGTTCTTTCTTCATGACTATTTCTGAGTGAATAGCGCTGTTGGTGATTTTTTTTTTTCACCGAAATGAAATGCATAACAACCTCCCTTTTGAACTTGGAACTACCAATGGAAGACATTGATACATTAGCGCTTGAATCGTTGTGCTTTGGTTCATTTTTAATGGATGGGTAAAAATATATTCTTAAACTTTTTTAAAGAAAAAAAAAACTGTATTACACAATTTCGACAACATCAAAAGATTTAGAACACAAATGATGTATTCCTGATAGTTTTTAACATTTTGCTTCGACGCTCATATTCGTGGCGGGAATCGCCCTGATATATTTTTTTTTATTTGTAGCCTGTATGCAAATTTAAACATTATGCTTCATCACCGGGTGATTTTCAATTTCATGTGAAATAAATGGGGAGTTTCATTTATGTGTGTTTACAAAAAATTATGCCCCAACAAAAATATAAATGGACGAGTCTGGTATATCATACTCTGTGAAGCATTACCAGATGATTCAACAGAAAGTCAAGAAATTGCAGAAAGTTCATGCAACAGTACAACATGATATTAATTGACGACGACTTGGATGTTGCATTGAAAGATATTGGCAAAATATTCATCTGGTACTGGATCGACGATTTAAGACTTCGCCTTGTCTTGTCCATCTTGTGTTGGTAAAAGTTAAGTCTTTTTTTTTCTCTTGCTACAGGGAAAACGAAAGCACACAATCCGAGAGCGGCGAAGTTGTGGAATTCTCTCCCAAAGTATCAGGCGGGAGAACGCTCTATGATGATGGTCCTCCAAATGACCCTAATGGGTACTTCCGGCATCCTCTTACGGCTGCGGAGACTGCCATCAGCAGTGAAGCGTCCGCCTTGGCGTATGAATACAGCAAGTTACCAGCGCTTGATTCAAGCGGAATGAAGATAGGAGAAACTAACAATTACAAGGATATTCTGAGGTAATCAATTTGTTACATACATTATGATTTAGTATTCAAATACAGTTAGTAACGATCTGAAACTCTTTACATCAAAACTAATTGTTTAAGAATTTTTTTTTTAATTCAAGTACCATTTATCAATACATTTTATAAAGATGAGAGGCATAAATCCAGATATGTTAGAATCATTTTTGAGAATGCTGCTAAGAAAAAAGAGATTTTTTGAATAATGGGCTTAAATTTCCTTTTGCTTTTCTCCAAGATAAGAAAGCATTTCCTATATTTATTGGTTATTTCACGTCTTTTGAACCTTCTTGTCATGAGGTAAATTCACATTCTTTTCTTTATTTAATAGTCTATAAAGATTAGGGCTAACTGATGAATGTTAATCTATCGTGCTACTATAAGCTTCACAGGCCGCTGAGTATGAATTATACCAGTCTTCTAAAACACGAACAAACGAGAAAGAGACCAATAAATAAAATAAATTGACAATAATTGTCCTTTATTTTTCTCTCTGAATTGAAAGACTACTATATTTACATCTACAAGCGATAGGGCACATACTTTTGTTGTTTGTACCATTGGTGTTGGAATAACTGTGTTGTACAACATCTATAATGATACTCTTCTAAGATCGCAAGATCTCGAGCTCGGTACTTCATACGAAAAATCCGTATTTCAGTTCAGATAAATCGTCATAAAACAGCAAATTTCGTGACGATATTTAGTTGCTCTCAAAGGTGCAAAATATATGGACTTTTTTTATACAGTTTGTATACTTTATTTGTATAGTATGAGTGTGTTGTTGTTGTTTTTTTTTTTTTTTTTTTTTTTTTTTTGGGGGGGGGGTTGTTTGTTAGGTACTTAGTATTTGAAAAATATTTCATTGAGTGCATATGGTATAGTTTGTGACTTTTACAAAAGTAGCGATTTACAGTAACCCCCCCCCCCCCCCCCCACACCACCACCACCACACACTCAGCTATTTACTCGATATATCCACGTGAGCTTGAAATAAAAGATACCACGGAGAATGACACATCTGTTTATTATTTGGTATTTCACTAGAAAAAGACGTTATAACTAATTGACAATGCTTTATGATGACTTTTACTTTTCAATCGTCAGCTTCCTTTACTTATGTACGAATATACCCTTATCACCTGCATATGGGGTTTATGTCTCTCAGTTGATTCGATATATACGTATGAACAATTTCTAAAATGAGGCTAGCAATTGACAAACAAGTTGATGAAAAAAGGATATCAACAGAGACTGTTGATATCCTTTTTTCATCAACTTGTTGAAGTCATCATTTTGCAAGTTTTATGGTCGATACAGTGACCTAGTCAGCAAATACAATCTATCATTAAATCAAATGCTGACTGACGTTTTTCATATTAATTGTTAGGCCATTATTTACACACTGAATTGTTTACGGATTTTCCGGGGGGGGGGGGGGAGGGGGGTTTCCGACCAAGACAAGGAGCACACGGCGGGTGTGACCGGTCGGCAGGGGATGCTCACTCCTCCATAGCACCTGATCCCACTTTGATGTTTTGGAGGTTTGTGTTTACTCTGCTCCCAATTTGTATTGTTTGAATGGACTTTGATCTTGATTACTGTTCGTTATCTCCATATACCATTCAATTTCAAAAATAAATATTTTCTTTTCTTATTTTTGAAAATACGTATAGAAAACTCGCAGATGAAGTCATTCTCAATTGATTATTTATAAAATCTTAAAAACTTTCTATAATGATTTTTAAATACAAAAATTTATGAACAAAAACATCTGTAACTTCTTGAAGAGAATGTCACTCCTCTCTTCGATATAAAGTGCTTCCTGAAATACAGTGGATTGGTGGACTTTTATCAATAATGGAAAAGTACCACGTTACCAAGCAATGCTTCTGCAAAAAGGTAACATATGCCTTATGATAATAATAAGAGGGGTTTTTGGACTGCTCTGATTTGTCTCCTTCAGGCGCTATAGGACGCTCTACATAGTGAGTGGTTGACATCTACATGTATGTAGATATGATAATTTTATGCTCCTATTATCAAACGAATCGAACCGATTATTTATAGAGTTAACAGATGGTATTATTCTTTTAGTATTTTTTATTATTCGCATTTTTTAAAATATGCTAGAATAAGGTTCTCGTGAAGAAAAGTTACACATTTTGTTGTGTATATTTGATCTTGTAAGGAGGAGAATGTTGATTCATCGATATCTGAGTGTAGGGACCTTTTTTGCTGACATATAAAAGAAATATTTTTTATTCACAGTTCCAGCTGTCCTGTACAAAATGAAAGCCATTCACTTAATCGGATTGTGTGTGTGTGTGTTTGATTGGTATTTCTTAAAATAGCAATCTAATAATTTATAGAAGGAAATTTTCCTGAGCTCTTTAATTTATACAAAATATGTCAGTTTTGCAATTTCTTATTTTTGCATTTTGATTTTAAATCTAAATATAAAATGTACGACGGACGCTCAATAAAAAATGTCATCAATCAGATTCCACAAAATCAGTTCATAGCCATTAGCTTGAGCTGTATTACTTCTCGATTCCAATTAATGAATGAAGATTTACAAAGTAAACAATTATAAATTTTGATTAATTTTGTTTGTATATCAATATTAATGCAAAATGTTGTGTTTTTTCGGTACGTGATTTGTAATGGCAATGTCAAAAATGTTTATGGTTTATTTTTTTTTTCAATTCTCGTTTCATCAAGCAATTTTTTTTGTATGAAAATATACTTTCAGGCTGCTTTTTCATCTCATAATGTAGCTTGGAATTAAAATTCTTTCTCCTTTATATATTTAGAAAATAGTGTTATAATTCATCATAGAAACTCATATTTATTTAGGAATAAGACTCCGCTAATTTAAATCTAAAATATCAACTTTGAATATCTTAATTCATTAATTGATATCGAGAATTGATACAGCTCAAACTAATGGCTACATTGTATGAACTGATTCGATATTTGATAATCACTACAAAATATTTCAAAAGGAAATACAAATGAAACGTACACTCTTCCTTAATGTCAACAGGTGTGATTATTATGAAGAATTCATCTTACGCAGCAAATAATTGGATATATGATTTCCCCCTTATAAAATAACCTATCGGAGATTTTTAGAACTACATAATTCCAAATTTATCGCTCTCTTATCAGAGGGTCATTAAAGTTTAAATGTACTCACAGGATGAAGAACTTTTTGCTTTTTTGATCTCTAAGGAAATTGTACATCTTAAATATTTAATGAAATAGTAAAAATGCCATTTGTAAATTTATTGTAAAAAGGCGTAACTTTTAATCTCTATATAGAGCGTGACTTTATAAAATGCACAGCAAAGGATGGGTTTCCACTTCATCAAACATCACATGTCCATACCTATCGGAGGGCTGTAGCAAAATGGCGACCAGCACAAACAAAATCATAGAAGTCTTTGCTCTTTTCATCTTTATTCATGTAATATGCAAGTACATTTATCAATTTTATTGTTGTATTTTTAACATGATTAAATTTGCTCGAGCTCGTTCGTATGTAACTACATGTACTTTATATCTGGTATGTTGTAAGGTCACTTCTGTAGATTAAGTTCAAACTTAAAAAAGACTGTTAAGAAATAGCAGCAATATTTTATGTATGTTCATATGATAAGCAGGAGGGTCTTACGAATTCTCTCCGAGGAGTGTTCTGATTTAAGGCAGCCGACTGGGGTTTTATTGTGTGAAAACTACTACAGAGAAACTCTTTAATTTCATTCCAAATGTACTTTATATTGACTTCAATATATATGCCAAGTTTAGTGAAAATCTAACGTCTGGTTAATTTTTTAGGGACCATCTCAAAATACAGGTACATTTACTTTAGGATTATATATGAAAATACCATTTTTCGCACTTCGGAGCAAATTATACAAATGCTACTATAGACTTTTTGCTCAAATTACATTATTTGATGGGTAATACTATATTGTACATTTCTGCAAGAAACACACAATTCTGGTTTCCAGAGGGGGTATCTCAAAATGTCAAAATTCATTATATTTTCCTGTTTTTATGGAGTACAACAAAATATGACAGATACCAATGATTTACATAAAAAATAATAAAAATGATTGTGAGATTCTCAATTTCCTATAATTAAAATTTCAAGAGCATATATTTTATACTTTTTATTTTATGACATAATTAATGACCCCGCCTAAAGAACTTCGGTTATTCATAATGTCAAAAACACACTATTACGACGTCTATATACACATTATTTGAAAAATCTTTTTAAAAATCAGTTATTTAAAAATGTAATTAGATTTTTTAACCTGAGATTTCCTAAATTTGTAAATCTATAAAAATCATGTAAAAAAGGTTGCTATTAAAGAGTAAATACGCTCTATTTTACTCTGCTGCGCGAAGTATTGCGCAATGAAAACCCCAGTCGGCCCTCTTAAATTACATCAATTTTTTTTTTATTATTATTTATCATGTGAAGTTAAACTGAACTTTCTATTCAGTTTCCTTCATTGTGTTTTATCTTTTTATTTTTACACCTTGAATGTTCCGAATTTATATAGGCCTGAAAATTATGCTAACTTTGTATTATGCGACCCTTTTGTGTGCATGTAACGCAATATTATTTCGAATCAACGATATATTATACTGGTGTCATATAACTTTATTTTCTGCCATAAATTCGTGCGGTAAATAAAACGGGATGTTGGCATGTTTACAATTGTTCCATGCAGTAACGTTATTATTATCCAACTTTCATATTTTAAAACTCTCCATTGATATGAACGGATTGGAGAAACTGAAATACAAGTTAATATATTTATAGTGATTAAAAAAATAATTAACAAGTATTGACCAGTTCGATAATTTTGCTGCTACCGAAGAACAATATGGAGTAGCGCTCCATTCCTTAAAAGTAATGAAGCCGAGGCTCCAAAGGAGCCGAGACCCATTGCTTTTAAGGAATGGAGCACTACGAGT